AAAAAACAAAGGAAATGAGGAAAAGCCTTCGACATGCACTTCCACAGCTCTCTTCGACCACCACAAACTTCCCTAGCTCGCTAGCTCCTCTCGGACGCCTAGCTCGCCACTCCCTCTAGCTTGTTAATGGAGGAATTCCATAGTTAAATGGTTGACAGAAAAATGAGAGACCTTTTTCTCTCTGAAATTTAGCTCAAGGCGATGTGTGTAAAGTCATCTTTCTTTTGGTCTTCTTCTCCTATTTATAGGGGGAATAAACCTAGGAATTTTGTTAAAATTCCTAGGATACCCCAATCAGGTTCCTTTACGGGAGGGGGTGAGCAGCTGGACAGTGGTCCCCTCCAAGGCAGCTGGGCATGGTCCTCTCCTGGGCAGCTTACAGTTGAGCGCGGTCCCGATAGAATCAGATGATCCATATAGTAGATATCCCTTTCTAGGTGACTAGCGGTTGAGGGCACGTGAAGAAAAAGACAATTGGCTCTTAAAAATATCATATTTCATCTTTTACGCTTCCAAAATGCCATCTGATTTGGTATTTTCATTCTACTCAACAGTCTCAGCATGTCACGACAATTCCCTTTTGCTTATTCTTGCTCCCAACTTCTGCACATCATCATACAAATATGCCCCTAAATGCATCTATATGATCCTATATGAGCTCTTATACAGTCAATAACTTAATTGAAAAGGCCCTAAATATGCCCTTTTTGAGGAGTTATCACCAGTTGCTGTGACATATCCTGTTATCTGAACCTATAGAATCCCTACACTTGCTAACGCCAATAGGTTTGCCATGGCATCTTGAACTTGTCGAGTCCCTTGACTAGAGATAGCATAGGGCACCATTAGTAAACTCTATCGGGCAGATAAAGGCATAGAAGTAAGACCATCCTGAGAAGTAAACTTAAGTTTCCTAAGTGACTCCTATCATTTATTCTCATAGTAGTTTGTTGTGTGAGGATTGTCAAGTCATTATTCAAGTTCAGTATTTACATTTTGTTTTGCCTTTATATTTTCATTTGATTGCACTAAACACAATTTAATTTTCCACGACATTTCTATTTACTACCATATTCCATTACACCATCAACCAACATCCATTTCATTTTGCCACAGCATTCTCATTTGTATATACCATCACCAACTATACTTAGGTGAAATAGTAAATTGCTTTGATTGAACTTATAAATTTCCTCCAATCCCTGTGGATACGATACTCACTCATCATTGTATTACTTTTCTGAAATAACAACATACTAAAACAACCATCCATTAAAATAAAACTTAAATATTCATAAGGAACTCCCACCAAATAAGACTAGTTCATGGTGGGGTTCAAATATTCCAAGCAACAATGCATGAAATTAATTCGTTCCATACAACCGAAATAAGATAAATTACAGTAATCAGTAAAGTGATGGAGGAAAAGCCTTCGACGCGCACTGCCAGAGCTCCCATCGGCCACCACGAACTGCCCTAGCTCGCTAGTTCCTCTCGGACGCCTAGCTCGCCACTCCCTCGAGCTTGCTAATAGAGGAATGCCACGGTAAAAGCGATTGATGAAAAAGGATGAACATTTTTCTTCCAGTCGCCTCTTCACTATTTTCTCAAATTTTCAGTCTCATAATTTGGTGGCTTCATCTCCTATTTATAGTGGGGAATAAACCTAGGGTTTTGTGTTAAAATTCCTAGGATACCCCGATCAAGTTCCTTTCATGTCAAGGGGTGAACATATGTGGCAGTGGTCTCCTCCAGGGTAGCTGGGCGTGGTCCCCTCTTGGGCAGCTTGCAGTTAGGCGTGGTCCGAATAGGATCAGACGACCCAGGTGGCAGATGCCTACTCTTGGGTGACTGGTGGTAAAGGGCACGTGAAGACAAGGACAATTGGCTCTTAAAAATATCTTATTTCGTCTTGTTCACTTCCGAAATGTCGTCTTGTTTGGCATTTGCATTATGCTCAGCAGTCTCATCATGTCACGGTAATTCCATTTTGCTTATCCTTGCTCCCAAATCATCCACATCATCAAACAAAAACCTTCCCCATAACGCAACACCATTTACGAAATAAAATGACGCGACAAAATATATTTCCACCACATGCAACTAAATGATATATAATCCTATATGAGCTCTTAGACAGTCAATAACTTAAGTGAAAATGCCCTAAATATGGTGTTTTTACGGATTATCACCCGTCGGTTTGAATACCCACAATTTTCGATTTTTTCCCACCCAATTGCCACATCTATTCATGGACCACTTTGATTTTTTTTTTGTAAGAATTTAAGTGTTTTAGTTGCCATTAAATCAAAAAATTATTGTTACAAGGATTTGAACATGCGTAATTTAAGTTAAATATTTAAATTTTGTGTATTCCTATTTTTTAAATTTTTAAAAATATTTTTAATGAAAATTCTTTAAAAAATACTTTTTATGTTTCCATATTTTCACTTATTTTTGTTTTTATTTTTCAAAAATCATTGTCTAATGTTACAACCAAACACATTTTCTTCAATGTTTTTTTTATTTTTTTAAGAAAATAAAAATGAAAACAATCAGTATTTCCTATAACTAAACGGACCCTTGTATTCCTATTTAGATTTTGAAATAAACATGTAAGTTTCGAAACTTAAATCTGAGTTTCGAAACTTAAATCTGAGTCTCGAAATCAAAGGATGGATTTTGAAACCCACATGCATTTTGAGAAGAAAAAAGTGAAAAGAGTCCTTTAAATGCCATGTATTGCAATATAATCCCTATGTTTAACGTATAGAGACGTTAGTCCCTCAAATAAGATAAAATGTATATTTTGAAGATAGAATGGTAGTTTCGAACTTCGATTTCAATTGAATAATGTAAATCGAATAATAAAAGAAAGATTAATATATGAAATAGCTGAATAATATAGAATCTAATAAAGTTCACAAGATGAAAGGATAATCTGAATTGATTGTAGTTTAGTCTCGGTGTGTGTGAATCATGAATTTTTTGATGTTAGTGACGTTATTGATGATAATGACGATATCGATTGTGACCTTGATACAAAGTTGGAGCTTCTAACTATGATGAATACGTTAACTATGGATATGATGTCGAAAATAGACCAATATTATATCACCCTTCAATTCGAACTAGCAAAAGCAATGTCTTCTTGCATAATATGGATTCCAAACATTCATGATATGGATGTGAATGAGACAAATTACTTATCCCTCGGTCTATTAGTAAATTATCTCTCCAATGATTGTGAAAGATGTTCCACTAGAAACATTCTTGTTATTACTTCGACTCATATTCCCCAAAAAGTGGATCCTGCTCTAGTAGCCCTGAATAAATTAAATACATGTATTAAGATACGAAGACTTCTTATTCCACAACAACGAAAGCACTTTTTCACTTTTTCATATACTAGGGGATTTCACTTGAAAATGAAAATGTCCATATTAATGGATTCGAGTCCATAACCGTGGGTTCTGATGCAGGAGATCTTGTAGCACTTACCAATGAGGCCTTATCGATTAGTATTAGATTAATTTAGATTTTGATTAAATTAATAATCATTTTGATGTTTAAATAACTAGTTGATTGAATGTATGCTTTACTTTGATTAGATAAAATCTTTGCTCCGATCGTTCAATGAAATATCTTCGATTCAATTTATAGTTGATTCAGGTAGAAGTTTTACACAAACAATGACGATGAGAATGTTGTGATTCTTATATTTTTTTCTTAAACCCAAAAATATATTTATCTTCGAGGAGGAGAAAAGAGTGAAGAAAAGACAGCGTTCAACTCATTTTAAAATAGGGATAAATCGAAGGGTACGTGTAGAGGAGATCATTCAGTGTTACTGAAAATCCAAATCTCAACGATTTCGAAATTTGCACGATATTTAAGACTCACGGTTGATTAGCCTTTTTTTTTTTTAATGGTCAAACACTTGGCGGTCCAAAACACCTTTCATCATCAAAATATTTTAGGCTAAATTATACGGTTACTACCTAAATTATAAATTTTGACCCATTTTAATATTTATATTTTCAATTTTTTAAAATCATACTTAAAATTTAATTTTTATTTCATTTTAGTATCATATTCAAAATTTAACGTCAAATTTTGAAAAAATTAAAAGTTTAAGTATTAAAACGAACTAAAATTGATAGTTAAGATACTAAACACGTTAAGTTTTTAACTACACCATACTAAAATAAAATAAAAACTAAACATTACATATGATTTAAAAAAATTAAAAGTTCAAGTATTAAAACGAACTAAAATTGACAATTTAAGTACTAAATGCATAGTTTACCCAAGTATTTACGCCATTACAACTCAATTTTCACCAAGTAACACGCTAGACAACTGAGAAAAAAAATTCTACATAATTTCAGACACACCACGAATATACAAAAATGTCAACCTTATAACTAATTTTTATATACATAAAATAGATGACATGAAAACACGCCACGAACACTTGAACTACCAGGACGTGACACATTGCTAACTCGGAAGTTTGAACTGAAACAAAAGACCCAGAGATATTTTTTAGGATAAACACACATCAATAACACAATTTGTTGCTTGTAGGTGAACACAGATAAAATTTCAAAATGGGAACAACCACTAAAATGAATAACTAACCGGAAAAAAAGAAATCAGATTTTAGAGTGATCAAGTCTTCTTGCATCCGCTACTGAACTGAACTAAAACTGATAAAACTGACATTATAAAAGAACTCACTTGCAGGGTTATTCCACCCCAACTGCCCTTCTTTCAACTCAAATAACAACAATAGGCAGCTCAACACCTGAATTACACATCCTATTCCATATAAATATTAAGCTTCTGGTGGGACAAAACAGAATCATTATATTTCATTTCTCACCCCGGTAACAATGATGGTAGATTAGGTGATTTCACAAAAAGCAAAACACACTAAATATTTAACATTTCTATCTCCGGTACGATGAGCCACAAGAAAAAAAGGAAAACATAAATAAATAAATAAAAATCTACATAACTAATACATTCTGATATTATCAGTCTTTCATCAGCTATGCAATCACTTTGACGAATATCCAAGGGTAAGATAGATTAAACGCTATTGTCATAGCTAGCATACATATTTTTGGTGATCGCCATCATTTAAAAAATGACATGTAATAATAAGTGGCAGGTAGTAGATGCAACGGAAATCTTCAAAGGGTCTGCAACTACCTGACTATGTAAGAGGAGGGAAGAGAAGAAGAAAACCCAAATTCTTGAACCAGTTATGGCATGTAGCTGCTTCAGAGGAAGTAATCCGGTGTCCTACGCGTAACATCAGGTTCTCCCCTCCTTGGTGCTGGCTCAAACTGCAGGAAGATTAACTTAATGATTTTACAAACACGCCTAATGATTTTATTGGTATACAAAAGTGCATGCATTGAGTGGAAAAGATTAAAGAGAAAAGAGGGAGAAAGAGAATGGGGGGATAGATGAGAGAAAAGACCTGGATGAATGTATGATTCTTGCAATCATCAACTTCCAAGATAGAAGCCATGTTTCCACAGCGATAACAATAATTAGGTGCACTGAATATAGTAACCACTTTTTGTTCCTGTTCCAAAGAAATAATTGTGAATTAAAAGACCCGAAACAATTCATACATAGCATACATGCAAAAATAATTGAACTTTGAGAATGATGATTACATGTGCCCAGTTAAATCCATCCATAACCAGCTGATGAGCTCTAGCAATCAATTTCAAGCTGTTTGTGTGATTGAATTGTTCAGATATGTCCTGCAGAAGAATGCAACATTTTGACATTAAAGAACAAAAATTAAAGGTAAGGAAACCACAAAAACGTCAGATAACAGTCATTCTGCATATTAGTTACCTGACCAAAAGTATATCCAGCACCACGTGGAGAAATACCCCAACCACATCTATCATCCGGGTCAGACCACAATAAATCACACATGGGCCCTTCATGAGGAACCTCTTGAACACGATCAAAGTTCCTTATATTATCCAGGGTTTCAATTGAAGGGGACAATCCACCATGCAGACAAAATATTTCTGACTCCACCTAAAATAAAGATATCGGCACTACATCAGCGAAGGGAAGTACCAAAACCATTTCATCTGCCATTATTTCCACGGCCATACAACGCTAAAAACAGGGACCAAACAAATATAGCAATAAATTTGGTTATCTTGAGTTGACATTAATCATTAAACAAATAATCTTCTAGTGCAGTGAAAGCCATATTTATTAAAAGTTTTAGCTGTCTTTAATATAGCTTAAAGAAAATACAAGAAAAAGTCAATTGCTTCAGACATTCTAGAAAAATCGATGGTACCTTTTGGAGGTTAATTAAAAAAGTTTTAATTTCTTCTTAGAATTGTCCAAATATGCATTATTATGAGATAGTAGAAAGCATAAATCCAAACATTTTCTAGCCCAATAAGAATAAAATCAGTCATTCAAACCATAAAATTGAAATAGGGGTAAATATTTTAAACTAAAATAATATAACACTAACACAACAATACAATGTATGGAGGACAACACTACTATTAGACTGCACAAATAAAATAGAAACCCACCAAAGCATACCAGATTAACACCAAGTCTAAAGCTAACATGTGTGTCCTTAGTTTCTTTCCTTGAACCCGAACTGCAATTACTTTAAATAAAAATTAGTATGCACCTTTGTACTAGTTCTACTCACCAAAGCAGTTAATGGAAAATAGTCAAAAAGGTCTGTAAAAATCTTCCAAACGTTAGCATTGCCATACCTGCAAGTAAATCACCAAAAAGGGTATTATCATTTATTTGCATAAGGAAAAAGCAACTACTTCGCTTCCACATGACTGCAATTTATCTGAGGTGTATACCTCCAGAAACTAAAATCTAGTATATCATATCAATTAAAAATACAATAGCACTTTTTTTCCTATATGGAAAAAAAGGAAACATAAAAATATCATTGAAAAGAATAAGACATTTAGTACATGTACATCTAGATAATACTAAAGCCTTCTAAGTGATGTTGAGTATTGAACTTACTTCCGAAGACATTCATCATAAAACCCATAAACTTGAGTGATCTGCCAAAAAGAAAAGGAATGACTCAAGAATTATCTTGACATTAACAATGATAATTGATCAAGATTCAAGAGTTCATATCAAGATCTGAATTAAGACTCAAACATGGAAATTGCAGAATATAACACCATAAAATGCCAAAATTTTGCATGTGAACGCCTATTTGATAAGAAGGGAAGGCTCGGAAAAAGGGCAAACCTGGCGGCTTTCGTGGTTTCCTCTGAGAATGGTAATCCGCTGTGGATAACGAACTTTTAAAGCCACCAGCAGCTGAAAGAACAAAAAAAAAAGAACATCCAAATGGAAAGTATGAATGACTTATGTTTGCTATTGATCTCTAAAGTTGTTTCTCTACTTGCAAACATTATGCTAACAAATGCAGAACTCTCTATGAAGAACATGGTATATTCGTGTTTACGGGAAAAAAAAGCAAGCTTAAAAGAATTGATATGATGTTTCCTGGTAAAACCATGAAATTGCTTTAAAGTTTCCTCTCTCTCTCTCTCTCTGTATCCTCTTTCTTTGTTATTTCTATTTCCTTTTTTTAATCAGACTTTCTTGATTCTCTTTTTCATTTTTTAATCAGACTTTCTTAATTCTCTTTTTCCTTTTTTTAATCAGACTTTCTTATTTTCTTTTTCAATTAAGATTAATTGAAGTTGGTTAATTGTTATGTTTTATCAACTTTTAAACTTTTTCTATTTTTATATTAAAAATTGGTTCCTCGCTGAAACATACATGTAACTTTTAAAAAAAAACTCAAATACCATTATGCCCACCTTTAAGTTTTTATAAATCCATTAGTCATCAAAAATTAACTTCAACAACGAAAGCTCAAACTCAGGTAAATATTCTCTTTTAGTGCGCCTAACATCCTTGACAACATTGAGTAGGCAACATCATTTGACTACAGTTCTAGCATGCAGTATATTGTAATTGAAGTAGAAATAAGTGATAACTCGCCACAAAAATGCTCCCTGACATGTTCCTGCTGAACTACATTGAATTTGAAGTGTTTCAAGATAGAGACCAAAAGTGGCACATAGGAGATAATGCAGTTACTATAGATCCAAAACTCTTATCCAAACGAAAATCTAATGAGCTCACCATCTATTTAACCAGAATTATTTTCCCCAACTTAAATCTTCAAAAAGAAGGTATCTCAAATTCATAGAGTCGAAGTCTTTTGAGAACAAACCAAGTTTCATATAAAATTCAAGTCAGGTGTTATTTACAGGTGACTATAGGAGTTTGAGGCCAAGTTCCATATAAAGAGGTAGCACTCAGAATCCTTGGAATTCTTACCTACATATGTTATTTCTGCCACTAGACCATACTTAAACAGAAACTGAAAGAAAATTTTCATGACAAGGGTAGAAAATGGAATTAAACGTACATACCGTGACAGTTTCAACAGAATAGTATCCACGATCGACATAATCTCCCATAAACAAGTAATTTGTATCTGGACACTGTCAATTAGATGAGAAAAGCATATAATAAGTTGAAAACATCCTAAGAACACATGAATGACGCTGATACAACACTTTTTAATTGCTAAAAGAGGTAAAAGATCAAGTAGAAAAATTTTATCAAAATAGACCCCTTATGCATGAAAGTGCTGGAGAGTGGACCGGAAAAGCTCACGTCTTATGCATTCAAAAGAGAATAAATCAAAAATATCCGCACTGCATATTTGATAAATTAATATACCTCTAGAGAGCTCCAATCTTCAAAACATTGAGATCTCAACTGATTATTTTACACATTCCCTTGGCTGAGACAAAACTGAATACAAAATAGAAAAGTCACAGTCAGAACAAATACCTTCCCTCCAATTCGAAAAAGTTCGGCAAGATCATGAAACTGTCCATGAATATCCCCACAAATTGTCACAGGACTTCTCACAGGCTGTAATTCAAAAGAAACCACATCAATGTTTTCCCAGTTCGAGGAGCAATCTCGTCATCTCCAAAATTCACTGATAGATAAATAAGTATAGATCATAGATGCCTGAAACATGAGCAAGACTAAGATAATAAACCTGGACATTGCTTTCTTTCATTAGTATTTCCTTTGCCTTGTCGCATAATGCTCTGACCTAAACAAGAGAAGATGAAACAAATGCAGTTACTTGAAGTTAAATTCAGGAAGACAAAACATGAAAGAGAAGGAAGAGCCAGTGGCAGGACAGGAGCAGGAGGGGCTCTGGCCCCACACCCACCCAAACAATTTTTTTTGGGCTAATGGTAATTTAGGTCCTTTAAGTTTAAATATTAGACAAATTAACCCTTGAGCCCCCCAAAATTTGAGTTTAGACACTTAATAGGCCATTGTATTTTTTAAGTTAAGCAATCTGACTCCTCATTTGATCCAGGTTCCGCCCCTGGGAAGAGCTTTAATTGACCCAAATTAGAACAACGCAATTAAGACGGAAATAATTAAACACTAGAAGCAACAGCAGTTGAAAACCTAAAAACACAACAATTTTCGAGCAAATACACCAACAGAACAAAATCATTTCCTTTTACTGCTATTAAGAAAGGGGAAACGGATGCATTTTTTTATCAATTAACACCAAACAACAATTTAAACAACAAAACGAATCAGCACAAAATATTGCAATAATAATATATTCACAAATAAAAAAACCATATCATTGAATTGATTCCTAGTAAATTTAGGTAGTTCTTTGAAAAATAAACAGATCGTGAAAAGATAAGGTACCTGCTGTTCGGAAAGTGGCTTACACTGCATGAGCTGCGAGATCTGCTCATCGAGATCGGTGGTCGAGTCCGTTGGTGACGGATTAGCGCCCATCTTCAATTCTTCAGTTGGAAATATGGAGCCGTTATCCAGATTAGGGATAACCCTAACCCTAGTTTGGATTTAGATTTTTTTTTTTTGGGAGGTTCTAATTTCTGCTTCTTTTTTTATCTACACTCTAATTCCGGCTCTCTTGGGTCTATGGCTCAGACTAAATGAAAAGGTAGGGCGCGTGAAGTGGGACAGCGATTGAAGCGTGTACGGCGTGAGTGATATAAATCCACGTCACACTATTTAACTGTTAAGATAATTTTTAATTTTTTTAAAATTATGTATAATGTTTAGTTTTATTACATTTTGGTATAAGTTGTTAACATTTTAACTCATTACTTAAACTATCAATTTTAATCTGTTTTTAATATTGAATTTTTAATTTTTCAGAACTTAACATTAAATTATGTCTAAAAGTTAGCTTTAGATAAACAAACGAACGAACACGAATAACTAAATGAACAAAATTTTTAGTTTGTGTCCGTTCATAAAGGAATGTAGTTTGTTCGTATTCGTTCATTAAAATGATAAACGAACACAAACGAATAAGCATAAACGAACGAACATAAAATTAATCAGATTTATATTTGAAAAGATCTTTAGTTATTAATAATTTTAGGGTTTATACTTTATTTAATTGATTTGGGTTTTTTATTTGGATTTATAATTGATTAGATTTTAAGATAGAGAAAATAACCTCAGTGACCAAAAATGCCTTATAATATACGATTTTAACCAACTTTTTTTGGATTTGCCAAAATGGCCAACTAAATCGCAATGCGATCGATAATTCGCAACGCGATCTCCGGTATCGCAAATCAGTTTCCAAATTCGCAACGCGATTCTGACTATCGCATTGCGATTTTCTAAATCAGCGTTATGATTTTCCTAATTCGCAATGCGAATACGTAAATCGCAACGCGAATTTGAAAAATCGCAATGCGATTACGTAAATCGCAATGCGAATACGTAAATCGCAATGTGAATACATAAATCGCAATGCGAATCTGACTATCGCAATGCGATTTACATAGCGCCATTCGTATTCAACGCGTATTTTTTTTTCAAATTCCAAACACGAATATATTAATATATCAGAACACTGAACCGTCCACAGTATATCCCGTAATCGCAACTCATAACCTAAAACCCTAAATCACAACTCAGTCTCATCTCCATCTCTCACTCTCTAAGGCGATATCCGTCCCCATCTCCGACGAAATCAGTCCTCATCTCCGACGATATCAGTCTCCATCTCCGACGAAATCATTCACGGTCAGAAATGGAAAATCAACCAAATCAACCACCGAGGGTTAGTAGTTTTTTTAATTATTTTTATTTTGAAATTTTTGCATTATTATTAGGTTTTTCATATTGAAATTGATGATAAGTTTACTGGTGTTTTCAATAATAGATTAACCATTTCACTTATATTGCTTATTATATTCATTCGATTGCTACCAATACTGCTAAATTGTTTAGTCTTTAACCCTGTGAAGTTAGTATTTGTCTTTGTTTTGTCTTTTGGTTGAAGTAATGCAATCCATTCAAGTTTCTTTCAATTTTAGTATTTGAAACCGAGAATGACTATCGCAATGCGATTCTGTCGTTGCGATTTTCATTTCGCGTTGCGATTGTCAAATTCGCGTTGCGATAGTCATTTTTGTGTTGCGATTTTCATTTTCGTGTTGCGATTTAAAGTTTCAGAAAAGTATTCTTATTCTACAAATTGAAACTTGAATGAATTGCATTACTCCAACCAAAAAACAAAAACAAATACTAAATTCACAGTGTTGCAAATTTAAGTTTGAAGAATAAACTACTACTCTTTATGTTTATTGTTCATATCTTCACAGTGTAGTTTTTGGTATATCTAAATTGATATGTTTATTGTTTTTGCAGAACTTTTATTCGGCTCAATTGACCTTAAGAAATAAAGTAAGCATGGCCAAAACAATTGCGTCGAAGCTTTCACCTGCACAAAGAAAAATATTTGAGGATACTTGCTTCGGGCCATGGCTGAAAGTACAACATCCGGGTGGAGATGCTATGTTGACCCATCTGTTTCTTCAAACCATGACTAGCGATCTACCAGAGACTATACAACGTCGTGATGAAGAAATATGGTTTGATTTTCCACCGACGTATACGTGTTTTGGGCGGGAGGAGTTTTGCTTAATCACCGGTCTACGCTTCGGACACGATGATGTAGATCGGTACACTAGACATATTACCCGCCTATCATGGTTTTCCCGGGTTTTTCATGAGCTGTCAATGGAGTAGTCGAATTTACACGTGGAAGACTTGACGAGATTATTGAATAAGAAAGATGGTTTTACTCGGATGGATGACGTCGATGTTGTCCGAGTATGCCTTCTAATACTTTTGCAAGCCGGCTTTTTAGGCAGAGAGGCCCGATAACCTATTTCTAATGATCTAATTAAATTGGTAGAGGACCTAAATGCATGGAACATGTTTCCGTGGGGTTCGTATCTATGGAGAGCTACATGGAATAAGTTGTCGTCTGCCTTTAATGATCGGAAAAGTTTGCGTGGCGATTGTTCCAAATACACTTTGTCAGGCTTTATTTGGGCCTTTAAGGTAATAATTTTTATATAATGTTTCCAAAATTATAATTAATTCTTTAACAATTATTAAGGTTTTTTATTATATTATTTGTAGATTTAGATATTTGAGGCATTTCCCGCCATGCAGACATATGCATTAAAAACTTCTAATGATATTCCTAGGGCTATTTCCTAGAAGAGGAAACGGTCCTTGCAGCAATGGGAAGATTTACTACCGTATACTACAATAAATAATGTAAGTTAACACAAATACTACCATATGTTTATATACAAGTTATTACTATTACAAGTTTAACTTTGTCTGAGCTTTTATATTGTTAGGAGGCCAACACTCTATTACAGAGGCTGACACCCACGGAAGCTGAGCTTGCCACTGATTGGTGGCAAGCTAGTAAGCTTTTTTTTTATGGCACGGATGATAAGCAGCCACCACTTCGAGAGCCATCACCTCACCCAGAGCCATCACCTGATCGACCCGAATATACACCTCCACAACGAGAGTCATCACCTATTCTGTCACATCATCGAGCCTATTCTCCACCATCACCTCATGATAGGCAACCGGCAAAGATGCCACGACGTTTATCTACCTGTTCTCCACATCCACCTCCACCTCCACGGGATGAGTTAGGGGAGTTACGTAATGAGGTCAATGCCTTGCGTGAGGAGGTCGGTACTTTACGCGATGACAATGGTGCATTGCGTGTTGAGGTGTCTACTTTACGTGGTGAGGTAGCAGCTCTACGTGAGATTGTAGCATCGTTGCAGAACGAGGTTCATACTCTACGCAACGAGGTAAGTTTAATATTTTTCATATTTAACTTGATGATAAATTTACTCGTAATTTCACTTAGATTGCTTAGTAAATTCATTCGTTTGCTGCCAATATTGTTTAACTGTTTATTCTTTAACCTTGTGAAGTTAGTATTTGTTTTTTGTTGTCTTTTGGTTGAAGTAATGCAATCCATTCAAGTTTCAATTTTCAGAAGAAGAATAGTTTATTATTGCAATGCGAAAATGACTATCGCAACGCGAAAATGACTATAGCAACGAGAGAATCGCAATGCGAAATGAAAATCGCAACGCGAAAATGACTATCGCAATGCAAAAATGACTATCGCAATGCGAAAATGACTATCGCAATAAGAATTTTATTATCGCAAAGAAAGAATCGCAATGCGAAATGGAAATCGCATTGCGATTCTCTCGTTGCGATAGTCATTTTCGCGTTGCGATAGTCATTTTCGCGTTGCGATTTTAAGTTTCAGATTCTATTATTCTTCTGTAAATTGAAACTTGAATGAATTGCATTACTTCAACCAAAAGATAAATACTAACTTCACAGTGTTGAAAATTTAAGTTTCAAGAATAAACTACTACTCTTTATGTTGTCATTGAACTTGCACTAAACCTATATGTTGTCCTTTTAAATGTTTATATAAGTGCTTACTTCTGGAATGTTATCTGATGCATTTTGTGAACAATGATATAATAATGACTTGGGTGAATACCGTGCAAGTTTGAAAATATATTTGTCTTTGTTTTCACTGTTTAATATCATGTCTGTTTATTTACTGATTTATGTATTAATTTATTTTTAGTGGCCCGCTAAGGTGGATGCTCTACGTCGGGTTTTTCTTGCAAGACGGAGTTCACGCATCAGACGGCGTGCATGTGCCATTACGTCTCCGTTCACCTCAATAGTGCAAAGAATCTGTAAGAAAAAGCCCGACTCACAAGTCATCGTTCAAGAGGCCTCCCCTATCGTTCAAGAGGCCCCTATCATCCCTCAAGAGTCCCCTCCCATCGTTCAAGAGGCCACTATCATCGTTGAAGAGGTCCCTCCCAACATTCTAGAGCCCCATTCACACGGCGTAATATATCGAATTATTGAGAAGCCCCCTCACGTGCCGGACATGATGGATGACTGTTTGGTTTTCGTATAAGTTATCGGCCAGTAACATTCCGGCATATGAAGTGGAGAGGAAACAACTACCGGAAACAATTCTGGATAATACCCTTTGGGCTAACACCGCAGTTGATTTTTATCTACATGAGCGGAGCCAAGGGTGTTACGCTGATATATACAAACTCAACGATGATATGCATTTGTTGATTAAACGGTCTTGGTGGGGTGTATTATTAGGGGTTGAAGACAACGACTATTTCGATGGGGGGCTAAGTCTTATATTTCTTTTTATATTTCAGTTTGATTAATTTTTTTTTAAATTTATGTAATTCACTAATATATGTCTTTTTTTATAAAACAACATATTGATGCATGGGTGACACGTCTTCTAATTGTAAGGAAATTAAAGAAAAATCTAAAAAAAATGCGATATACAATTATGCCGACATCTTTTCACGTAGTTCACTTGAAGAATCAATGACAGGAATCATATGTGTTGGCTAATAGACAAGCTAAACTTTATCCTGCATAGTGGGAGGTCGATAAGGTTAGTATATTTGTTTAAATATTTTAAAGGTGTTTATAAATAAGTGCACAATTTGAATTATTACATTTCGATGCAGGTGTTTATCCCT